CTGATGATTCGCTGCCATACAACCACGAGGACCTATGAAATAAAAAATAAGAAGAGGGAGAGAAGGGGGACATATCTGAAAACCTTAATGCCCTAAGCAAACATTCAGGGTCAAGGCGCCTACACCTTGTGTAGACAACATACCGTCACAAACAGCTGGCTATCGTGCAAAGATAAGGCGGCATCGGCGAGACAGCTTCCTTGCGGCTTTCACTGCCCCGCGTCATAATCAGCCATTACCTCGAAGATAACTCAGCACCAAACATACTTTAAACAGGCAATCCGATTAGAAAACGGCAGCAGACGCGTCACTGGTGTCGGTTGCGAGCCATGTCTTGCAAAGTCTCGAGCCAAGCACAAGGTGAGTCATGTGGACTCCAACCCGGAAGGCGAGACGGACCAACGGCACCCAGTTTGATTGTCAGTGACTTCATTTCCCGCTGCCAAGTCAACTTCTGTTCATCTCGAGCCTTGCGCCATCCTACACCTGGTAGATTGAACAAGGCCCTCCTAGGTAAGCGGTGACCAGACATGCGTAGCACGTGCCCGAGCCAACGCAACTTATTCAGTGCTATCTGTTGTTCTAGGGAGCTAGCATGATTATCATTACCTAATACTCGAATACGCACATCATCGTTGGGGATACGCTGGTGCCATCCGACCCCAGCAATGCTTCGCAAACAACGATGATCAAAGACTTGAAGGCGCCTCAGATCTTCAGACCAAAGGGGCCAAGTCTCACTGCCATAGAGCAGAACGGCCCTCACTGTGACCTTGTATACACGGCCTTGCAGAAGGAGGGAAACTCCCTTCTGTCGCCAAAGATGCCGCAGGTTCAAGAAGGCAGCTCTGGCCTTTGCAATGCGTGAGCTCACGTCACTTTCTATGCGCCCATCATTGCTGATGCAGCTGCCAAGATAAGTGAAATGATCAACCACCTCGAGTTCCTCGTTAGCAAGCGTCAAGGGGTCATCAAGTGGTTGGTGGTCCTGTAGCAACACTTTGCACTTTGAAGGTGCGAATTGCATACCAAATAATGGGACCACTCTGCACAGGCTATTCAGGGCTGATTGGGCCGCCCCAACATCGTCGAAAAGCAAGACGATATCGTCCGCATAATTTAGGTCAACTAATCTTTCACCAGGCAGCACTTAAACGCCTACATCGTTGGATTCCGTCAGGGAACACTCCATGATAGAATCCATGACGAAACTGGACAAAAACGGGGAAATCGGACAACCCTGACGAACGCCACTTGTAGTCGAAAAGCTATCCGATAGGACACCATAGACCCTGACGTGGCCTGTAGTGTTCGAGTATAGAGCACGAAGGATGTTCACATATTTCGTGGAAACACCGTTTCGCCCAAGTAATTCGTACAGAATCGATCGATCGACTGAATCGAATGCACTCTTGAAATAGAGGAACACAGCTATTGTCGGTCTGCGGTATGCGTGGCGCTGTTCTAGCACCTGCCGCAAAGTAAATATATGGTCTATACAGCCACATCCTGGGCGGAAACCGGCCTGCTCTTCCCTAATCCAAGATTCCCGTTCTGCAGTGAGGCGACGAACGATAATCGAGGCCAGTAATTTTGTCACAACTGGCGTTAGGCTAATACCCCTGTGGTTCGCACAGTCTGTGCGACTGCCATTTTTGTATATTGCCACTATAATCGATTCGCTCCAATTAGCCGGGACACTCATCGTTCCAGATACGTTCGAATAGGGAGGTCAGTGCTTTGCAGAGGACCTCACCTCCATCCTTAAATAGTGCAGGTGGGAAGGAATCCGGGTCAACGGCACGAAAACGATTAAGGGCTGTGATCGCATTTCGGACCTCGGCCTCTGACGGAGGCTCTAAACTAACCGTCCATGGCACGTCCTGCATCACCTGAGTAGGAAGAGGTCCGGGAGCAGGGGGCCAGCTGAACTGATCTCGAAAGTGTTCAGCCCAACGAGCCATACGGCGCTCCTTATTGTGTATCAGCGCACCCGCGCTGTCTCTGATTGTCTCACTGACGCCTGGTTTTCGGGGACCGGTGGTGCGGATTAGCTGGAAGAGCTTGCGGTAATTGCCTACTGCCCCTGCCTCCTCCATTTCTTGAGCCCGACTGGTCCACCAGGCTTCCTTGTCGGCACGTAGGCTCCGCTTTAGTTCACGCCTAATAGCGCGTCCGGTCACATTGTGTTCAGAACCAGCCGGGAGGTGTCTTCTAGCTTCCAACAGGTTCACGGACCTCTCGGATATCCAGTGACTAGTGCGGTGACGATGGATAGTGCCACAAGCAGATGCTCCTGCGCCGTGCATGGCAGCCGAGATCCTATTCCACTGAAGTTCAGTGTCATTAGGACAAGACAGCGAGAGTTCGGTATGCAGTGCTTCTTGATATGCTTGCCTGACCTGGGGCTGAGACAATTTCTCCGTTGCCAATCGTAGGGGACGCTTGGTGCGCCTTCCGGTAAAGTTCATGGAGAAACGACAGCGTACAAAGGCATGATCAGAGTTGACACAGGTACTCTAGTACGAGCGGCAATCCAGAATGGAACCACGCCATCTGTAACTTATGGCTATGTGGTCAATTTGAGCCCAACGCTGGCCAGCTACAGGTGGACGCCAAGTGGCACTTCGGCACCCACTGTGTCTAAAAGCAGTGCTACTAAGAAACAACTGGTGCTCCGCACACAGTTGCAGCAGACGCTCACCGTTATCAGTCCGTTCGGAGTTAAGTCCATACTTACCACCCAGCTGAGCTTCTGAAGAGCTCAGACGCCCTACTTGTGCGTTCATATCCCCTGCAAGTACTATGATATCTGAACTAGTAGCACTGCGTAGTAGAGCGTTCAGTTCGTGATAGAAAGTGTCCTTGACTGCATTAGAATTGCGGTCGGTGGGAGCATAAGCGGAAATCACAAACAAACAACGTTTTGTACTACTTCGTGAATCAACCTTAGCTGTTGTCGTCAAACGGGCTGCACATAAACGGCTGTTCACCGGAATCCAATCAACCAACGATGGCTCAGCCTTGGAGCTGAGAATGATACCAACACCAGTTGACCCGTGAGTGCCGCATCGGCGTCTCCGGATGCGTGCAACCAATAACGAGAGGATAAGCCGGGTGCAGTCAATTGAATAACCCCGTTAGGGTCATTGATCCTAGTTTCGGACACACAACACACATCTACACCCAGTGTGTCCAAGGTGCGTGCGAGTGCAGCTTGCTGACCTGTTTGTCTTAGAGTGCGGACGTTGAATGTCACCATGGAAACGGGATAGCGTGGTTTTATAAGGGACTTTTGTCGATAGGCGTCCGATAGGTGCTGTGGGATGGTGGCTGCAGATGGTTCTACTCGAGTAGCACTTCGGTTGCTGTCAATTAAGCTGGGAATTATAGAAGGAAGGTTAGTAATGGGGGCCGGGATGGGAGTAAGAGAAAAAGGTGGAAAAGAAAGAAGGGAGGCGCCAGCAGTAGCATGTTTTCGCTTATCCGCCCTGCTGTATGCAGCAGATAAGGCGACCCTTGCTAATCTGCGCGACGGCCGATGCAGGATGAAGTTTGTGTATGAAGAAAATGTCATGGTTGTATGTGGGCTGGGATACTGCCAGGGTGCCCAGACCTAGACAGGAGGACGATTAGGGTCCTCATCCAAAGCCTTTGGCTCAAAAGCCTGTCCGCAAGGCAGCGGGGTGGCAGTGATTTAGTTTTACAGAAATGGACGCCATCCCATTTCAAACCCCCAACCTGGAGGACCAGGAGACTGAGTTTGTCTGACCTCTCACCATTGACCAACCTGGTAGGAGTAGCTCTCAAGATGCTCGGAGGCATCACCCAGTGTAGCTCAATGGGTCATGGAGGTACGCAAACCGTCGCACCACGTTAAGGTCCAGTCTCGTTGCGAGGAATGGTTTGGTATATTTAGCTGTACATGCCGTGAGAGTCACACAAATCAATCAAATCAAGGTAAACAGTACCATGCCAATAAGGCTGAACATAGGGGTACTTGTACGTAGGAGTAAAAAGAGGGTAGGAGGTGGATGAACTGAAAAACGGGCAATAAGTCACATAGTAATGGCGTTATGGTAGGTAGTGTTGGAACAGAAAATGGATGAGTGCACAGACACACGGATGATCCATGCTGGGCGATGACGCTGACCAACGTAGAAGTAGGCATTTGACAGGGGTCGGTCGAGTGGTCGCAAATTCGTTATACCATGATAGCCGAACAAGGCTGGCTAGCCGAACAACCACCCCGTAGTGCCAGCTGGGTGGTTCGGGTTTAATCCGTTCCAGTAAATAGTTCGGCGGCAGTGTTTTAGGACGTGGTGGGTTTTCGCCTGGCAAGTGTTTTCCCTATAAAAAGTCACAAGTGTCTGCTTAACAACACCGACGTGGCGGATGTAACCCGCCACTAAATAAAGTCACTGCCCAAGCTTACGCTGACAAGCTTATCAAATCAACAGACGTCAAAAGTTTCTTCAGACACCGCCGACGCGATCTCTCATTCAAAAGAACAGTAACACATTTACAAACACAAGCAACACACCTACCAACATATCTAGATTTATGAATCTGCATATATTGCACATTTCTTGACCAATTGTTGTACTATTACTACGATCATGCCTTTAATGACGTGCCTCGGGTAGCCGAGAACAAAAAGTTATTTATTTATAATTGCCCAATAGTAGCTATAGAGGATTAACCATTTTACTTAGCAGGTAAAGTAACAGCGGTTGACACATGAATGCTGCAATTGGGTCGTGTAATGCAAAAGCTAGAGTTGCTTCCACGTGTGCTTCCCTTGTTCTAAAGGCCGCGTACTTAAGAGCTCAGTGGGGGCTGTTCCGCTATACGTTAGTCATGCATGAGCAAACTGTTAAACCCTTTGGATTTCGGGAAATATGGAAGGTCTCCGGATAAGTTCTATCAGTTGATGACCCGCAAAACTTATGTAAAGATGCACAATCAGGGTCACGGACATGTAAAACGATAGGAGTTACCTTGAATGCCGAATGAATCTCCTTCACCGGAAGAAGAACGGCATTCTTGCGCTTTTTGGTCGCGATTAAGCGAAGCGCTTCCACATCTGCGTCGGTCGGCAACATCTTATCGGGTATACTTGGAAGACCATCTACCAACTTTGCCTCCACTTCGCTAATGGACTGCGGTGGCTCCGGTAGAACAATGGTTGCTAACAGTTCGATCAAATGTTGACCCAAAGTCTCCCGTGCTTTTTTGTCCAGTCGTCGAGTGGGGATCGCAGCTGATGGTCCCTTTAAAGTGCTTCGGGAAGCGTGTGCGGAAGCTGAACCAGAACACGCAGAATTCTGAAGTACCTCATCACTATTCACAGAAATTGCGCCTAGGAGAAGGGTCAACAGATACGAGCTGAATTAGCTTTAGAGCAAGATATGGTGCCATGAGACCAGCATACGGCGTAGGTATGACGTAAAAGCCACTAAAAGCGACAGATAGTGAAAAACAACTCTTAGAGACGTGGAAACAAAAGATATATGTGGCGATGAAACAGAGCAACAGTATGGCAACGTAACAAGTTACTTAGTTCAATAACGTAGCTACCATCGAATGGTCAAATAATATGAGTGAACAAAGGCAGTTTGAAGATATGCAATTTGGTGTCATCTGGTGACCACCGGCAGTCAGGTCTGGGGAGCTGGTGAAGATGGGGCACGTGGTCTACAAGGAATTCGATATTTCGGAACAATCAATAGGGTTTGCGGATGCGCAGAATGACGCGGGTTTATAGATTGACAGTCTTAGAGGCTTTCATATGAACTATCATTAGGAGGAATCATTTAGGCGAACGGTAACTTTTCTTGAATCACCACGGATGGTATAGTTTAATCTAGCTAAGACCTATGAACTGGAGGCGGTGGACCCGGTTGCTTTGACTCAGGCCGATATAAGAATAAGAAGTGAAAAATGGGACTAAGATCAGGAAAAAAGGCGAATTCAAGAAGAATAAACAAGTGTCAAAAGAACAAGAAAACGATTCCGTTTTTAACTAGCGTCCGATTGGACTTCAAACGGTGAGACAGGTTCCGAGGTCATTATCTAGCAAAACACCATGCCAACCTAATTAAATTCTTGTTAACTGTTTCACGTTCGCTCGAAGTATCCTCAGTTGGCCGTCGTAAAGACGCGTCCAAATAAATGCAGCATTGACAAATAATGCGTGCTGAGGCAGCTCGTCAGATGGCTTGCGAAGGGCACGGCCAGACCAACCAGTACGTTGATCTAAACACGGAAAATCGCATCATTCTAGCTCTAACGACGCGTACAGTAATGCCTTCAGGGATGTGGCAATTGAATACAGCCACCTGGACAAGTCATCATCTTCATCATACGTTAACCCCGTGGCGGAGCTGTATGCTATTGGGCGCATCTCCAGGTCGCGGATTAGGGAATACCTTCCCTGTGGAGGTAACTTCGAATAAGTCTCGTTTGCCTTGCAGGCGAGATGAATGAGCAGTCGCAGACAATCAGAGGCAGCGTATCAGAGTGTGGGGAGTCCTGGGCTGGTCACCTGGTTCTCAATCAAAGACCACAAGAGCTCGTACGGCGCTGTGTCAAAGCAAATGTGACCGGTTATAGGGTCACTGACCACTCCCTTCTGTAAGTAGAGGTGAGTATATAACGGAGAGCGGATGAACAAAATTGCTGGCCACCGGCTTCTCTGCGGACTTCTACTGAACCCAAAGGCGAAGGAGCCACCCGGATGTCAACGGTCTACGTTAATCTCCTCGTTGCATGGCTGGTTAGGTCAAGACCAAAGGCTTGGGGTGAAGTCCCTTAAAAAACCTTTTTTTTCAACTTGGGCAACGGGGAAGATCTTTGCCCACACAACACATTAACTTAAACTTTCCAAGCCCTTTCACTGACTATCCGGTTTCTCCCCTTTTGTTGTTGTTAACCATGTGTTGTGGCACTGCCAATTGTACAATGGTCAAGTGTTGAACAATAACAATAATAATAATAATAATTTGTATCATACGTTAACTAGAGGTGAGAGACATTGCAGCTAGTTTGCTGCAGTACAATACACTAACATTGGTAAAGAAGCGAAGAGAAAGCAAAGAATAACATGCTTTGTTTTTAGTATGAGTCGAGAATGAGATCGTGGAGAGGAATATGGGTGTGAGAAAGGAACCTCGCAAAATGTATGCCTGTAAAGTAGGCTCTTAGCAACGTCAACAAGTGTCTCTACCCGAACTTGTTCACCGTACTACGGACTCCAATCCGGAAGCCGGCAGAGACCAACCAAAGCCAAGTACGGAGTGAGAGCTCCTATTCCCCTTCTCTAATCGTTCAGTTACGGTGTGTGCTTCAACCCGGCCAAATGGAAAACACTACGCGATGATTAGCAAGCAACTGGCGACATTTTAGAATAGATCGCCGGTTCCACTTAGCTAAAGAGTTGCATCAAGGCGAGTGGTGTTAGAGATAAAGTTTTATAACGGATAGCAAAGACCCCCTGCTTTCACTAGACTTAGCCTAGTATGGCGTTGTCAAGGTGTCAGTCTCATGCACAAGAACAGGGTGTACAGTGCTTCCGTCTAGACGGTCCTCTTGTAAGGCTAAGACCTGGCCATTTCGCGCAGATGAAACGAGTGCAAGGTTTGACAACCGCTTCATACGAAGGATTGCTCGCGTATAGATGAAACATCACGTGACCGAGTGCTTGGAGCAAACATCCCGTTTTAAAATGTTATCCTCCGATACCACATGCACTGGCTCGGTCACGTACTGCATATGCAAGCCTACTGTTTTTCCTGTCGAGCGTTATCTGCGTTTTCCGGAAGTGAATGGAAGAAGTACCGCGGTGAACAACCAATGACGTGGAAAAGGAGCGTGAAGAAGGCGAACTCATGCTTAACGTCAGTTGATCCAGTCAAGCTTTCAGGCTGAGGATCATGCGACACTGACACCCAGTGGTTGCAAACGTGGGGTGCCATCACCAGTAATAGGCATCAGTGGTGCCATTATTGTTCTGTCGTACATTATATTAATTGTGAAATGTAAATTTTATACTTATTACTCGTTTACTATGACTTTTCCACAGTTCATTACAGCCTACATCTCTCCCTTCCTAGTTGAAAACAGCTTAAGCTATCAGGTTCATACTATTCTCACCCGTCGTATTCCACATTCAATTTCATTGCAAGTTAATGGTAAATGGAAAAACTCGAGACAAAAAACGCAAAGCAACGTACTGAAACATGAAAAGCCAATCCCATCCTTTGGTTCTACCACCGTCTTCCATTTTTCACAATGTTTCAGAGTGTACAATAACTGCACTCAGATTTGTGAATAGGTATACGTATGGTTGGCGGCATCCGATTCCGGATTTGCCTGTCACTGTAGCTTTCATAAGACAGCCACAGCACACCTGCACCTACAGAAGGACCATGGGTGGCTTGTGCTGCACCACCCACAGCTCCATCCATCCACACACCCGATTCCCAGTGCAAACCCGAAGGAATAAGACCGGGAGGCATGTGGATGGGAGTCCCATTTAATCAACGGAGCTGGCACACATTCCTTCAACAACCACAACAGTACCATTTTTATCTGTCTAATCCGGGAATCATGTGTAGCAGACGTACGCAAGGCGGTGAATTGGCTGTAGTCTGCCCCACTTTTTGAGCTTACCACGGTCACAAAGACTGAGTACCCCGTCCCTCCAAGTAACGACCAACTGTCTCCTGAAGCTAGTATAATCAAGGTGGTTTTTCGACAGGTAAGAACGCTGTCAACCTTCACATCAAGTGCAGTCATGAAGGATGTCAGACAACCAAACTAGAACATGAAAAGAAATAAACAATTAAACTGGACAATAAATGTGCGGTAGAAGGGCAGAAAAGAACAAACCAAAAGATGTGTATTAAGTCTGATCTAGTGTAAGGGTAATCTTGGGCAAATGTAGGTGCAAGTTAGAGAATAGCAATCGAGTAACATCAAATATGAACGAAAAAGAACGTGTAAAATACGCAGAAAATATGTAGAGGATTACCAGAACTGAGCAAATAAGATAAATTTGATTCGGTAAGATATGTCATAATGCGGAACAAGTCTAAGTCTCTCTAGCCAAAATGCAGTGAAGAAACACAAAATATGCAATATAAATCTTTTCATGCATACAAATATGTGCGTCTTTCGTAGTTTCCTTTTTCGATACTCAGTCATCATTCAAGTAGCTGAGCTTCATTGTCACCTCATATCAATAATACTAGGTAGTAGACTCTACTGATCTCAGTTTTCTAAGTCCTGTTACCCCATGGTTCTAGGTATGCCTAATTCATTATAAGCCTGACAAAACCAATAGCACTCGACAGACAAAGGGCAGTGAGTTCCACACTCTGAATGACACGTCTAAAAAAACAAAACAATAACTGAACCACAAGTTTGCTCCACTTCGAACGCAAAACTTATCTCAGAGCTCACTGATAAAAATTGCTCATCAGAATCGTAACTTGCTGAAATGCAAAAAGTATCAACATTTGTTTAACTCCTCAAAAAGTCATCCACTGGATTGCATTAGTAACTCTTCGGACAAAACCGATGCGGCGTTGCTGAGAAAAACGAGACAATTAATTGCCTCCGTTGCATCTGAGATACAGGAGCGAGTCCAAAGAAAGAAAAATACAATTGCCTCTAACATAACGGACAGATTCAGTTTAACGAAAGTTAAAAGAACTATACTGAAGCTTCGCAAAATGTCCGAGATCGATTGTAAATGCTTACGCCTAAGAAAGCAGACATCAATACATTGCTGACCCATCGTATTTAAATCCTCGAGTGAAGAATCGGCAGGCCAATACATTCGCAGTCATTCTATCATCACCCAGCAGACTCCACTAGGCGACATGGTGATCAGTCCGGATCGCACAGCTTTGCAAGGTGCACCTTTTAGTCATGAGCCTGGTACACTAAAGAGAAAAGGTACTCACGCAGTGGACCACATTACCAAAGCCTCCGAATAAAAGCACGCTAAGTGGAGCACCTCTCGCATGCATCTCGAGGGTTCCTATCTAAAAGTAGCTACATCGAGCATTAGTCTTCCGGATTCCGTCGCAAGCCTTCTGTGCATTCACCGATCAATGCCGAAGCTCCTGATTCCGAAACGAGTCTTCCTACTGCCTCTATGGATATGCTTTAGAAAATGCCAACGGTAAAGCTCAATGAAAATAGCGTTTATCACTAGATATATGGTTGGCGGAATCCGGTTCCGGATTTGCCTGTCACTGTGGCCAGCCACAGGACGCCTACGCCTACAGAGGGACAATGCGTGGCTTGCGCTGCACCATCCACAGTTCCATCCACACACCCCATATCCAGTGT